ATTCGGTGGTTGATGATGACCATCTTCATTTTCATGCATCGTCGCAAAATGTGTTCAGCTTCGTGTAGGTTTCCTATACTCTCATTACCCGGCATATCTGAAGCACTATAGAGATGAGGTCTACTCAAGCGTAAGTTACCTCGCCACTGTAGTGGTAGTTGATTAATGTTATCATTGATCCCTAGCCGATGTAGGTAACCCTCCATAAGCTCATCAAGCTCCTTGATGATGTCTCTAGCGTTAGCTTCCTCACTCGTGACTTCTTCTCGTGTATTCTCATCCATTGGGTTCTTTATGGAGTGTTCATCAGTGTTTAGTTCACTATGGGTTACATCGTTAAAGCCCAGCACGTCATCTGACTGTTGTTTTCCTTCCGAGACATTACGACCGCTGTTATTGGTATCGTACGACATCCCTTCAGCGTTCTCTAACTCGGGCTTTGTCGTTTCTCGATGGGAGCCTATAGAGAGTTTAAAGTAGTTCTGATTCAATACTCGGTGTCTAAGGAGTGGACGGTATTCTCACATCTTACCTGTGCTAGACATGGTGTTCGACCCGTTGTAAGCCTAGCTTTTCCTTGCGAAGGCCGCGCGAAAACGTTCGGGATAAGTTTTCCGATAATCGTTGCAGTTATTTGGTTTTTGCGCCCTATGGAACAAAGCTTAAATCCAGGAGTAGTATTACTACAGGAGGCAATGAAGGGAGACCTTATCGTGGTCAGGACAGAAGGAGCAGCAGTAGACGTAATACTGGGCGAAGGGGGGTTGGGGGAGGATCCAGAAGGACATCTAGAGAGATTCATTCCAATGGGTAGTAGATGCTTATCGTGTCCTATTAGAGCCTGAGGGGAGAAGACAGGTTACTCCCTGGTGCGGCGACAGTGAACGTGAATTATGCAAAGGAAGTGGAGGCAATCCGCCGACACTCTGCAGATATCACTGATTTTACCGATCTATCGCTCCGTACGGGAACGAACGAAGACCAGCCATTAGGATCGAGCTCGATTCTCAGCTCCTAGACGGAATACTTTGCAACGACTGGGTCAACGGATGGCTTCATTTGCTGTCTCGATGCTGCGTGGTGTGCTGCCTCTGTGGTCCTCTACCGAGTCAGGCGATACTCCGATGAACAAAGCTCATCAACGCAGGATACGCTTCAACCGCAAGGTCTAACCGGATATGGAAGATTGGTTTATTTGCTCTTTTATTAGTGGCGTGACGTGGTCATAGTCTCCCTCATTCTCCTCTTGGAGTCACTACCGTTCATACTTGGTAGTAGTAGTAGTAGGGAATGACCACTTAGTACTCTCCATCATGGGTTGCCATAATCTTAGGCTCCTATGATGCTCTACGAGCCTGTTCAGGCCAATGCTCCACCCTACCATTGGTTGCATCCGCATTCTTAGGAACCGGTGCGAGTCTATCAGCTTTTAAGGTAGCTCTGCTTGGTTTATTCATGTTCACCACTTTCTCGCTCCTTCCTAGTGTGCGTCCGAGAGTGCTATGGTATCTCTATTCAACGTAGTATGGGGTACGGGCTCACTATTCTGTTGCTTGTAATAATAATAAGCTACAACACTCCACAGCAGCCTCTCACATCCCTGCATGCTTCCTTACTCAGTTATTCAGGAGTATGTTTGCTTACCTCTTCTGAATGTTCATCCTCTGAGGTTAGGCGACGCCCCCGCTCCCCCATGCCATAGAGACTATCTTCTCTCAGGAATCCATCGCAGCGTTCACACCGATGTTCCCTGCTCTCGGCACGGTAATGAAGCCTTGATGAGCCTACCAGCGATTGTCTACCAGCTCTACTCTGCGGCTCCTGAAGTACGGGAAGCTATTAGTGAATCTATCAAGGATTACGTTAAGGAGGAAAAAGCCTGGCAGAATCAGCGCAAGTAGCCAGGTTTGGTATGGCTATTAAGTTGACAGGAATGAGTTGTTACAATCAGAGCTTACAACAAACCTGATAGCCGATCGCGGCTACAGAGGCTCTTCTTCGCTTTGCTAGTGCGAACGAGAAGTGGTGTTGAAGGCGTGAAGCTGTGAGATATATAGCAGTCGCATTATGTTTGTTTACTTCCACTGAGTTCTCGCTCAGTTACCGCGAAGATATGGCGAGCAAATCACGTAGGTCAGGGTCTCTAACTTGTTAGCCGTGTTGTCGTACCTTCTTTATCGATGTTGTGAGGGTATTTGCTCGGTTGCTTCAGAGTTCAGAGCAATGCGAACCAATACGAGTCTGGGAGGTAGTGCACAACTTTCTGGTGAGGGGTTGCTAATGAAAGGAGAATAGGAGCATACAGTCCCTGTCCATTGCAGAAAATATTATACCCGATGGTAATGGAGAGCGCCGCACGGTTGCCCTATCTGGGGGTCCACGTTCTACATCGGGGGGTATGGAATAGAGTCTAGTAGCATGGGTCTGTTAGAAGCATTCAGGTGGTGGTATGGGACAAGCACTCAAGGAAAGGCTCAACAACGATCTCCTTACAACAAAGAGTGACGACTAGGAATCTATATGTAGTAGATTCTTGGGTATCTACCTACCCCCCATATAAAGCATTGGTTCGATGCATGAACATCTCGGGATATCCCATGCTTCGCCTTGGAGTTATTGTGTACTATGTTGGGTTCTCAGTGCGATGAAGGGGAGTCACGGGTAGTGGGATGCACTCGCATCGCGCTGGTTATTCCGATGGACCCTTAGGAGGGGTCGACACAAGCAGGCTAGGGGTTTATATGCTAACATACAATTCCGTCATACATGAAGACTATG